TATTAAGAACTGGGATTTGAATTACTGCTTCAGGTCAACCAAGTCACAAGCTGTAATTTTACTGAAGTTGTAAGCAGCTTTGCCAAGAAATCCTGAGTGGATTGATCAAGAAAATAAATGTGGTACTCAATGTTCTGCACTCATAGGTGACCCTTCTCCTGCTGTTTACAACAGCAACCCCCCTTCACTGTCAGAAAATGACAGTACTCAAGCCAAGTCTGTTCCGGGACAGGACAGGCCCCTCTCTGTTTATTCAACGTTGTTCGTGTTTTTCCCAATTCTCAGCACACACTTGCCAAATAAGATCTGCATATATAAATAAAGAGGGGGAGGAAGTGATATACTCAGTTCTTTCGCAAGGCCAACACCAATCTGCTGGCCTGCACAAAGTCCAAACGCATCACCCACAGTTTTCCATGTTGCTGCCTAACAGCATAAACATGCTCTTGTTGTGCTGTCGGATGCTGCAGCCTCTCAAAAGGCCAAAAGAGAAACCACATGGGTTTACGCTTCACCGGGAAAGCTCAAACTTTCATGTTTTTTTTCTTTGCACAAAAATCCACTCATTGCCCAAAATTGCTCCTGCTTTTACAGCCCATTGCAGTGAAAAACAATAAAATACCATCTGGTTTTTCTTGCTAGGCAAAAGGAATTATGTACTTAAATACCATGAGTCAGATTAAGCTACCAGTTGCTGAACCCACAGACACTCAATGTCCAATAGCCCACTTGGCATGCCCTGTCTTCTGAAGACAAACCAGTTAAAGCTGGCTTCTCTTTGCTTCTCTCTTTGGGGACCCCCAAAAAGACCACTTTCTTGCGTACTGTAGAGCCTGGGAAAAAAACAAAAGAGCAAGAAACCTGTATGCTAGTGAGTGTTTGAGCGCACCATGCAATCCCTCTTTCCTTCATACCCCCATTTTTTAGTGTGTGACAGTCATGTGAACAAGGCCATGCACATTCTTTCATGCATGAGCCCATAATTGCTGTAAAGATTCTGACAGGCGCTCAGTGAAAAATCAAGTGTGTTTAATCTGCAGGGCCAGGGCCTTTTCACCATAAAGATTCAGCATTGTTTCTCTGAATATAACTGGATTACAGGTGGCTTGCTGACACTGCGTGTGGCTAAGCAAATGTGCAGAAAACAGCAGCATGAAAATAGCCACACAACTACAGTTGCAGCATCTTTAAGGAGCTACTAAAGTCAGGGATGAAGCCGCCATATGATCTGGATGTGTGCCCGGCCATTTAATGGGTTCGGGAGGCTGTTTTAGGCCAGATTGACTGAGGCGAGGATGTCACTGAGTGCACTCTAAGAGCCAGAGAGCTCGTCTGCAAAGCCTATAATGAATAGTTAGATCCAACGTGGAGAGGTTAAAAAAGGACCAAAAAGGAAAAGCACTGAGGAGGTTAAAATAAAAATAATTTAAACTCCACTAGCAATCTGTTTCTAAATCCACGTGCAGAGGATGAGACAACGTGAGACCACTGTCTGTGTGAAGTTGGTATTATAAGGAAAAAAAGACCAGGAAAAGATAAAGCCAGCAGATGCTTTTGGGATTGCCTCATGCTTTTGAGCCTGGCTGGTTTGGAATCCTGCTTAAGAACAAGGGGTGAAAAACCAAAATCTTGCTCCGTTTTGCCTGTTGTGTTGTTTTCTGCCCCTGTGATCCAATAAGCCTCCGAGCCACGTGATGACACTAACGGATGTTGTGCCTCTCTCTCTACTCTACAACCCCCTACTGCCACTGCTCTCTGGTTGTGCACTAAATTTTTCATTACATTCAAGCAGTAAGGCAAAGAGCAGATATGCCACCACCATTCACCCACCGAGCCTCCCAACCTACAACCCTGCCGCTGAGCAAAACAATGTGGAGTCGAGTGAGGGATCAGAGATCTTTTCCTGGGCCTACATCTCCCCCCACCAAACACACACAAAGTCTCTCTCGGACGAGCTCACATGGTTTGAATCAATGCTGCCACTAGAGCTCTTAAGTGAGCCAGTTTGATAAATATTATCAAGCTCGCAAGATATCTGCTTTGAACAAATATCTATGCGAATTGTCCCATTAGTCGAGAGGAATTTCTAATCTCATCTGACTTTGAAAAACAAGCGGCGTAATAAAAGAGAAAGCGAGGGAGAGAGAGAGAGAAAGACTGCAGCGCAAACATGACCATTTTTTGCACGCTTTTGTTGTTACTGCCAAACATCAGAAATTCCTGTTAAAGTTTCCCTTTGTCACGTGTTTCTATAGTCTGGAGACGAGGAGGAAATTGGCCCTTAAGAGCCTGTGGAGATTCCTGCCTTTTTACGCTCCTTCAGCTGTGAAAGACAACAGAGCCATCTCTTCTATAAAGGCCTGCTCCGAGCTTTGTGCAGTGCAGCTCCTTTGAGGTTAAGAACGAGGAAGGCCTCTGTGATACTTTGTTGTTGCAATAAAACTCTCGCTTTTTGCAGCAGATACAGTAACAGTGAGCCTGAGATCTGAGACCTGAGATCCCCTGGCTGGGCAGGGGGTGGAAAACTACACACCAAAGAAGGACATGTGCACACCAAATCACTTATCCAATCCAAGTCTTACTGAGATTTATAAACCACCGTGCTATTTTTAGACATCACTGATGGGCACATCAGCCACCCAAAATTATTTTAAGCTTATGAGTTTAAATATTTCTTCCAATATTATAATGTGTGACACAGCAAAAAAATGGGTGAAATATATGACTTAAACACTACAATTTGAAATGAATTCTCACAACACACTGTTAGAATTGTTTCTTCAGCTTGACTTAACATTAATCACTCGTTTAAAAATACATTTAATTCGCGCAAGGACCTGATTAGAGCATCAAATGGACAAGACAGTCCAGTTTAAAAGGCCGCGGCTGCCCAGGAAACTGTGGGTTCAGCTATCCAGATTAACCAGGGGAGCCGAGGGATAGAACTGGCAGGAAAGTTTGATCTGATTAACGCTGGCATGGCTTGCAAAAGCTTGTTTGTATTTAGCGCATATTTTAGGAACACAAAAAGCTTTGGATAACGTGGCCTGGATCAGAGCGCCGCAGTCACACAGAGGTTTTCCTCCGAATAGGAAGAAAAACCCAACCTGGGCGCAGAGAAGAGGGGGAACTGAAAGTGGGTCAAGTATATATTATGCAGATATGAAGCTCAATGATGGTGGGAACATGCAGCGCTGTTTGGAGCACGTTATGGGCTTTAAATGATTGAAATAACATGGAACTAAAGGCCTTATCTGAAGGATTCTGTGGCCTGGTTGAATTAGCAAAATCTTTTTTTGTATAGCAGGGAGAATATGCACCTATAAGCGAGGACATAGTGGTTTTAACTCGAGCACCAATTAGTGAAATGAAGTTGAGGAGGCACCTACAGTGATTGGAGCCGTTCCAGTGCTGGTTCCTGATGGACGTGCTGTAAGGATGGGGCGCACCGGGCACCAGTCCTTTCTCCGGGATCAAGCATCCTCTGCTCTGGTTGTAATAATCCATCATTAAAAACGGGTTCGGGCTGGGATTCAGTCCCACAACGTCCACACTCTCATACATCATACGACGCAGGACGACAGCAGGGGGTTATTTGCAAAAAAAAAAAAAAACACAACCAACTATAACAGTGGCGTGTGGACGACAACGCACGAGCCTGGTTGGTTTTCAGCTGTCCGCCAGCAAGAGGTAGAAAGTGACGGGGGACAAACGGAGGGTAAACTGCATTAAAATCGAAGGAAAAGTGGTAAATCCAAACACAGCGGGGACATCTGAACATTTGGCATCTTCTTACCGAGCTGTATTGATCAAAAGAGCGCACCGAGGAGGAGGAGGAGGATCAGTGTCTGGAAAGAACCTAATCTGCTGCGCTCAATTTGAAAACATGATTCAAGGGGACAGTCTGCAGCATGGTGTCCGACGCAGGGACACGACTGCACGGGGAAATAAAAATAAAAAAAATATTAAAATTAAATCTTAAACGACCCTGGATAACTTCAGCAGAATATCTCGCTCCTGTCGGCCTTGCTCAGGACGCACGCACACGGCAACATTTGGGGCTGGAATCCACTACAAGCCGCCAATTAAATCCCAGGGAATAAAAAAGAGAAAGAGAAATCTCCAAAGTCGAAAAGAAAAACGAACGATCGATGGATGAGAAGGCGCAGATATCAGACAGGGAATTCCGCCCTGGTTGCAGTTTCTCCTTTGGGTTGCGCTCGGTCGTCCCGTTTGCGCCCGCCGTGGGTGGACTCCCGTCAGCTCCGCGGAGTAAGCGGTCTCCCTCCCTCCGTGAGCCAGGCTACAACGACCGGCAGCTGCCCTCGGTCACAGCCCCGCTCCCTGACATCCAGCTCCGCACGAAACGCGCAGCACCGCCGCCGATATTTGTGTTTGGGGGAGAGCGAGAGGAGGCTAAATCATTCCCGCACCAAACCGAGCGGCTATCATGTTCTGCAGAAATGTGACAAGGCTCAGCAGCTGAGGGATTTAGCTCCACCTCCACCAGGCTCTCTTTTTCCTCTGCTCTTGCCTTCCCTCGATCTCCTTTCATGCGTGGCCCCTCCTCCGTTTAACCCCTTCAGGGACGTCACCGTGGATCTCCCTCTCTCCACACACAGGCCGTGCATGGGACTGTGATGAGGGGTGGGGGGGGGGGCCTCCCTCAAATTTAGGTGCGGGGACTTTAAATAGGAATGCATTTGAGGACACGATTAAGTTATATAAGCTCAGTAATGAGTCTTTCATATCTTTACACAGAGTTCATGAGCATAATGAATGCTGCATCACACTGTATCTCCCCCCCTCTTTTTTTCCTGGAAGTTCTCTCTATGTTCACACTCTTTATTTGGGCTCCTCCTTCTAATTCGACCCTCTCCCCCATGCTCTCATCAGTCCCTACCCCTTGATTTTTTTCTCCCCCAGCCGCTGTCTCCCTAATTTGCCTAATGCTATGCAGCTGAACTTTTCCTGAACCCAGGGAAGTAGGCAGCCTCACCTCCTGGTGACCCACTGGCTGACTCGGATTCGCCTCTCTGGCTCGCTCTCATCCCACATTATTCAAGATTTCCCACCTTGTACACTCTCAGTGTAACACCATTTCACCCGAGTGCGGCCCAGAGAGGCGCCTCAGTTCACCCGGCACACACAAAGCAACAAAAGCAAAGTCACCCAGTCATGGTAAGTGACACTTAACTTTTCCCACAGTGTAGTTACAGCTGCAAGAAAGTCTAGGAAGTTGTTCTGCCTCAGAGCTGCATCGCCTTCTTTTAAAAGGTTACTCCACCTTTACTCTGCAGCATTCCATGCAACATTGTTGCAGCTTGTTATGGCAACATGCAGCTGTGACATCTGTGACGCCGTGCCAGAGCTAACACAGCGCAAACGTATGGTATGTATGATTCACTGATGCAAAAATCAATGCAGAAAGAATATAGTGGCACACAGAAAACACTTTCAAACATCATGTCTGGTGTTGTGGTGGTGACAGGCAGCTTTCCATAAACATTGACCTCAAGTTGCCTGCAGTGGTAGAGATTAAGGACAAACCACTGGATGTAATTTTGTTAGGATTTATCACATATTATGTGAAAAAAATGTTGAATTCGACCTCTTAAAATAGAAGCCCACATCTGAACATATCCAGTATATTTAATCATGACTGCATCGGAAGCCTGAGACAAGGTCAAGAGGAGGAGAGGGCGGTGTCTATGATCGTTCAGCTGTCTATAATGGATGTGGAATTTGAAGAATTTTTCTACTGGTGTGGCATCTCATTGTGCCTTTTCAAACACATCTGCATGACACGAACAAAAACCAGTGTGACTTGTGTTGTAATGTGCCCATCTCCGTGAATGCCTCTCCTCCCCCACGTTGCCTGTACCTGATCCACAGGCCACAGCTGGGTCTGACCAACACCGTTTTTGAGAGGGATTATCTGTGTGGAGCCGAGGGGGGGTTGGCCTGCTCCGCTCCCACTGACTGTGACACTTATTTAATGCAGACCCCTGTGTGTTTACCCTGCCTGATAAGAGCCCAGTGTGCAGGCCTGGGCCGTGGCGACCCCTTGCCTGCGCTGATAGCACAGCCACACATTCCTTGACAGGATTAGCCCTATGAGTAATGGCTGTCAGAAAATGCTAATTTTCCAGGCTCTGTTTTCTTCTCCAAGGGGGGAGCATTCATCCTCGGGTAATACCCTGTGATTGCATAAAACAAGCTAAGAGATAACGGATTGCTGATCATTGCTTATTGAGAGGGGGAGGGAAGAATACAAGATTAGACCTGAAAAACGTCCCTTTCCCACATCAGCTTTCTCCCATTTGCTTTTTTTTAAAGTCACTTCGTCTCGCTTAATAAAACCTAATATATCAAGGCGCCTAAGATTAAATAAATGTTTTTTTTTATTTCACAGGAGGAGAGAAAGGGGAACAGAGGGCTCCTCAGGCCAGACAGTTTGGGAATTAGGTGTACGCCATTACATAAGTGGAAAAAAAGAGCACTGCTTTAGTGCCAGATGGTGTCCAGTCTGTACATGAGAGTTGCTCGTCACTGTGCTCACATAACAAGACATACAACACACATGACAATTGGTGCTGTAAATTTAGGAGGAGTGAGTGTGATCTAAAGGTCTCTGTTGCATTTTCACGACGAGAGTCACAGGAGGTTCAGCCCACATTAATACACTTGTCCAGGTGGCTGTTCTTGCTCCAGCATCAATAAGCGCCACACTGCTGAGAACATGGAAAAGTACTCTGGCATGCATACAAAGCCACAGAGAATGAGATTGTGTCTCAATCCCTTAACTTGTCACCATGAGGACAGTCTTACTTTTGTGGCTCGAGACTTAAAATTAAGTTTTGTTGCATAAAGTTGATGTAAACCAACCGGGGGCCTGATTTTGGCAACATTCATATGTGGAGGCCTCTCAGGATTTAATTTATAAAAGCATGAGGTATGTGAGATGTTGCAAATGACTACATCGCACACATTGAGTACAAATTGTCACATGAGGGTTTTGAGCTATTTGGCTCTCTCCTACAGCTCTTTCCCTCTCAGACATAAACTTAAAATTTAGATACATTTACTTAACACACACTCACCCACCCACCTACACTCTCCTGTGTGACATATAAGCTGCTCTCATACATGCACTGAATTTTCCTGAGGGGCTATTTTTTGAGAGAACACAAATGGTCAAGTCAGAGTGAGTCCACGTGAGAATACAACAGGAAAGCGATTTGGTGTGTTGCTGACACGTGACAGATACAGAACTGAATTTAAATATCAGTATGAAAAAGAGGAGATAAAAAAAAATGTAAAATTGGAGATTAGAGAACTTGTGGTAATAAAGGCCAGTGCTGGTATCAATGTACTTCTGCAAGAGAATTTACACCTCCTGCATGCCAGGCACCGTCCCTCACCTGAATGATTTGGACAGTTTTCTGTTGTTGTGAATGTGTCTGACCAGGACAATTTTCCGGACATTGTGAGTTCCTGTCTTGTTTTGTTCTGTGTTCAGCAACAGTGCACATAGCACCTTAACCACCGTCTGCCAGTGGTTTGTGTGTCATAAGCAAGAACAACAGTTAAATGCAAAATATACTGCAAAGTCATTGCCACAAAAGGTAGAAGTACCACATATTTCTTTCATGGTTTGAAATGCTACCCACTACAAAAGAAGACCTGCAATGTCCACATTTCCCTTTCATGCACAAACTGTTGAATAAGCATGTGACTGCATTAAAACCTTCTTATTTATATTCTTTAGCGGTTAACGAAACACATTTCTTCAAACAAGGCAACAGCACACATAGGCTTTTAACATCTTTGAAAGAAAAATAAATAATGGCACCATGTAGGCCTGTGGGCCTAGTTACATAGCGCTCAAGCTCAACAAAGGCCCTGTTAATACCTGGTATTTACATCCATCTAAAGTGATCCGATCACAAGTGGACAGCTCCAAGTACGTCAGTCCACACCTGGCATTAGAAAGCATCTCCTGTGACAACTTGTAATCAGATGTCATGCCCCTGCTCGATATACAGATAAATCTGCATTTGTGATCACACAGACCAAATGATACAGATTTTATAGTCTACAGATGGGTCTGCTTTCAATGTGTTTGTTTATTGGTGTGTGTGTGTGTGTGTG